TCAAACATGACTACTCAAATCCTTAAAAAAATTTTGAAAAAATCACAAAAAACGTCATATCTCGAAAACTACAAGGATTTGAGCCGTCACATTTAGAGGCAAGATTTGCAATCCTTGAGAACACTCTTACAGCACCTAACAACACGGTTAGGGGAAGTTTGGTAAATTTTGTTGGAGTTCAAGTTTTCTGAAAAAATTTTTTTTAAAAAAATCACGAAAATAGTCTTCTCTTACACTAAGGATTTGAGTATTCTTAAATGGAGGCCAAATTCGCAACCTTTTGGGGAATCCTGACAGCATCCCACTATTGGGCTGCTACTTTTTAACTCGGTGGAATAACCACTGAATTCAATCTGGAAAATCGAAAAAATCTTAACCATTGCAATATGCGATATAGCTTAATTATGAAAAAAAAATCACGTTGAAAACGCCTAAACGTGGCGAGATAGTGAAGCCCGCATTTAATTATATAATAGATAGATTAAACGAAATTTTTTTTCTTCAAAATTTGAAAATCCCAACCCTGTATTTGTGGGCTATCAGAGTACTCTTAGGAATTGAGAGCCTTGCCTCTAATTATGACTGCTCAAATTCTTGTAGTTTTCGATATGACGTTTTTTGTAATTTTTCAAAGAATTTTCAAAAAAATAAATTGATTTTTTTTCCAAATTTAAAATTCCTTACCTTGTAGTTGGATGCTTTCAGGGTATTCTCAGGGGTTGACAATCATGCGATCAAATATGATTGCTCAAATCCTTAAAATTTTTTTGAAAAAATCACAAAAAACGTCATATCTCGAAAACTACAAGGATTTGAGCCGTCACATTTAGAGGCAAGATTTGCAATCCTTGAGAACACTCTTACAGCATCTAACAACAGGGTTAGGGGAAGTTTGGTAAATTATGTTGGAATTTAAGTTTTCTGAAAATTTTTGAAAAAATCAGGAAAATCGTCGTATCTCTTACTATAAGGATTTGAGTATTCATAAATGGAGGCCAAATTCGCAACCTTTTGGGGAATCCTGACAGCATCCCACTACTGGGCTGCTACTTTTTAACTCGGTGGAATAACCACTGAATTCAATCTGGAAAAGCGAAAAAATCTTAACCATTGTAATATGCGATATAACTCGGTGGAATAACCACTTAATTCAAACTGGAAAATCGAAAAAATCTTAACCATTGCAATATGCGATATAGCTTAAACATGCAAAAAAAATACGTTGAAAAAGCTTAAACGTGGCGAGATAGTGAAGCCCGCATTTAATTATATAATAGATAGATTAAACGAACTTTTTTTCTTCAAAATTTGAAAACCCGAACCCTGTATTTGGGGGCTATCAGAGTACTCTCAGGAGTTGAGAGCCTTGCCTCTAATTATGACTGCTCAAATTCTTGTAGTTTTCGATATTACGTTTTTTGTAATTTTTCAAAGAATATTCAAAAAAATTAAATTAACTTTTTTTCCCAATTTAAAATTCCTTACCCTGTAGTTGGATGCTTTTAGGGTACTCTCAGGGGTTGACAATCATGCCATCAAACATGACTGCTCAAATCCTTAAAAAAATTTTGAAAAAATCACAAAAAACGTCATATCTCGAAAACTACAAGGATTTGAGCCGTCACATTTAGAGGCAAGATTTGCAATCCTTGAGAACACTCTTACAGCACCTAACAACACGGTTAGGGGAAGTTTGGTAAATTTTGTTGGAGTTCAAGTTTTCTGAAAAAAAATTTTTTTTAAAAAATCACGAAAATAGTCTTCTCTTACACTAAGGATTTGAGTATTCTTAAATGGAGGCCAAATTCGCAACCTTTTGGGGAATCCTGACAGCATCCCACTATTGGGCTGCTACTTTTTAACTCGGTGGAATAACCACTGAATTCAATCTGGAAAAGCGAAAAAATCTTAACCATTGCAATATAGCTTAAACATGCAAAAAATTACGTTGAAAAAGCTTAAACGTGGCGAGATAGTGAAGCCCGCATTTAATTATATAATAGATAGATTAAACGAAATTTTTTTCTTCAAAATTTGCAAATCCCAACCCTGTATTTGGGGGCTATCAGAGTACTCTCAGGAGTTGCGAGCCTTGCCTCTAATTATGACTGCTCAAATTCTTGTAGTTTTCGAAATTACGTTTTTTGTAATTTTTCAAAGAATATTAAAAAAAATAAATTAATTTTTTTTCCAAATTTTAAATTCCTTACCCTGTAGTTGGATACTTTCAGGGTACTCTCAGGGGTTGACAATCATGCGATCAAACATGACTGCTCAAATCCTTAAAATTTTTTTGAAAAAATCACAAAAAACGTCATATCTCGAAAACTACAAGGATTTGAGCCGTCACATTTAGAGGCAAGATTTGCAATCCTTGAGTATACTCTTACAGCACCGAACAACACGGTTAGGAGAAGTTTGGTAAATTTTGTTGGAGTTTAAGATCTGAAAATTTTTTAAAAAAAATCACGAAAATCGTCTTCCCTTACACAAGGATTTGAGTATTCTTAACTGTAGGCCAAATTCGCAACCTTTTGGGGAATCCTGACAGCATCCCACTATTGGGCTTATAATTTTTAACTCGGTGGAATAACCACTGAATTCAAACTGGAAAATCGAAAAAATCTTAACCATTGCAATATGCGATATAGCTTAAACATGCAAAAAAATTACATTGAAAAAGCCTAAACGTGGCGAGGTAGTGAAGCCCGCATTTAATTATATAATAGATAGATTAAACGAAATTTTTTTTCTTCAAAAATTGAAAATCCCAACCCTGTATTTGGGGGCTATCAGAGTACTCTCAGGAATTGAGAGCCTTGCCTCTAATTATGACTGCTCAAATTCTTGTAGTTTTCGATATTACGTTTTTTGTAATTTTTCAAAGAATTTTCAAAAAAATAAATTGATTTTTTTTTCCAAATTTAAAATTCCTTACCTTGTAGTTGTATGCTTTCAGGGTACTCTCAGGGGTTGACAATCATGCGATCAAATATGACTGCTCAAATTCTTAAATTTTTTTTGAAAAAATCACAAGAAACGTCATATCTCGAAAACTGCAAGGATTTGAGCCGTCACATTTAGAGGCAAGATTTGCAATCCTTGAGAATACTCTTACAGCACCTAACAACACGTTTAGGGGAAATTTGGTAAATTTTGTTGGAGTTTAAGTTTTCTGGAATTTTTTTTAAAAAAAATCACGAAAATCGTCTTCTCTTACACTATAAGGATTTGAGTATTCTTAAATGGAGGCCAAATTCGCAACCTTTTGGGGAATCCTGACAGCATCCCACTATTGGGCTGCTAATTTTTAACTCGGTGGAATAACCACTGAATTCAAACTGGAAAATCGAAAAAATCTTAACCATTGCAATATGCGATATAGCTTAAACATGCGAAAAAATTACGTTGAAAAAGCTTAAACGTGGCGAGATAGTGAAGCCCGATTTTAATTATATAATAGATAGATTAAAGAAATTTTTTTTCTTCAAAATTTGAAAATCCCAACCCTGTATTTGGGGGCTATCAGAGTACTATCAGGAGTTGAGAGCCTTGCCTCTAATTATGACTGCTCAAATTCTTGTAGTTTTCGAAATTACGTTTTTTGTAATTTTTCAAAGAATTTTTAAAAAAATAAATTGATTTTTTTTCCAAATTTAAAATTCCTTACCCTGTAGTTGGATGCTTTCAGTGTACTCTCAGGGGTTGACAAACATGCGATCAAAAATGACTGCTCAAATCCTTAAAATTTTTTCGAAAAAATCACAAAAAACGTCATATCTCGAAAACTACAAGGATTTGAGCCGTCACATTTAGAGGCAAGATTTGCAATCCTTGAGAATACTCTTACAGCACCTAACAACACGGTTAGGGGAAGTTTGGTAAATTTTGTTGGAGTTTAGGTTTTCTGAAAATTTTTTTTAAAAAAAATCACGAAAATCGTCTTCTCTTTACACTATAAGGATTTTAGTATTCTTAAATGGAGGCCAAATTCGCAATCTTTTGGGGAATCCTGACAGCATCCCACTATTGGGCTGCTAATTTTCAACTCGGTGGAATAACCACTGAATTCAAACTGGAAAATCGAAAAAATCTTACCCATTGCAATATGCGATATAGCTTAAACATGCGAAAAAATTACGTTGAAAAAGCTTAAACGAGGAGAGATAGTGAAGCCCGCATTTAATTATATAATAGATAGATTAAACGAAATTTTTTTCTTCAAAATTTGAAAATCCCAACCCTGTATTTGGAGGCTATCAGAGTACTCTCAGGAGTTGAGAGCCTTGCCTCTAATTATGACTGCTCAAATTCTTGTAGTTTTCGATATTACGTTTTTTGTAATTTTTCAAAGAATATTCAAAAAAATTAAATTAACTTTTTTTTCCAAAATTAAAATTCCTTACCCTGTAGTTGGATGCTTTCAGGGGTTGACAATCATGCGATCAAATATGACTGCTCAAATTCTTAAATTTTTTTTTGAAAAAATCACAAGAAACGTCATATCTCGAAAACTGCAAGGATTTGAGCCGTCACATTTAGAGGCAAGATTTGCAATCCTTGAGAACACTCTTACAGCACCTAACAACAGGGTTATGGGAAGTTTGGTAAATTATGTTGGAATTTAAGTTTTCTGAAAATTTTTGAAAAAAACAGGAAAATCGTCGTATCTCTTACTATACGGATTTGAGTATTCTGAAATGGAGGCCGAATTCGCAACCTTTTGGGGAATCCTGACAGCATCCCACTATTGGTCTGCTAATTTTTAACTCGGTGGAAAAACCACTGAATTCAAACTGGAAAATCGAAAAAATCTTAACTATTGCAATATGCGATATAGCTTAATTATGCAAAAACAATCACGTTGAAAAAGCTTAAACGTGGCGATATAGTGAAGTCCGCATTTAAATATATAATAGATAGATTGACGAAACATTATCTGAGAAATTATTATTATTGGCATAGATTTTTACAATATTTTTAAGTTGACAAAAACTTACTTTGGTCAAGTAAAACAATTTGGACGATAACTTGCACCTTGGAACTGTCAGACCAATTACTTTCAATGTTTTGAATTTGAGTAATTCTGGTATGAGAGGACTTTCATCGTAACCCAAAAAGGTGACTTTATAACCCCGATTCAGCAGTGACAGGGCGTGATATTGCATTCTCGGACTTCTGCCGATATCTCCTTGCACAACGACAACTGCGCACCTTTTACCAGGTGTTCTCAAGCCTCGTACAAAGATAACCACAAAAACCAAGACAAAAATTGAGGTGGTTAAAATAACCATCATCATTATTTATCTAAAACATTTAAAATAGATTGCACTAATTAATAATTTCGTTTCCTAAAAAACGCAATCTGAAGGTCAGAAGTATAGTAGTAATATTAGCAGCCGAATAGGCTTCAGAGCAATTGCTCAAGAGAACTTCACCATTTTACAATCCAGAGTTTATCTCAGTTTGTTGAATATATTGCAGTTTCCACATCTGAATAAATTCCATGTTCCTTTGTTTACTTCCTTATACATTTTCTTGCAGTAGTTCTGATATATGCTGGTCAGAGTCGCTTTGTTCGGCCTAAGACTGAAAGTTGGGCAGGCGCGAAAGAGACAGTTGTAGAGATGCTTCGCTCGTCTGTTCTATACATCGATTTTTTGAAGTTTGAAATTCGCCTCTTCATAATTGTGTAATTTAGCAGGCATCACGAGCCTTTTGATCCACCTTCAAGGCATACTAATTTCAAGCAGGGCTAGCAGTACATCTACTTTCACTATAACATCTACCTGACCCAATAACGGTTAACCGGTTTTTGACCTCTTTCGAGTTGATCCATATGTGCTCTGCTACGACCCCTATGCTTGTGATTTTTTTGGGCCCTTCCGTCATGCGACGGTACGTGCACAAGTTGGATAGGGCTGTACCAACGCTATATAAATACATCGGCAAAAATTTATGAAAAAATAAAGTCGATATTAATGCATCAAGAGAATTGTCAATTAAAATCTACCCTCCTCGATTATAGCACAGATAGAATTGTCTATGTTGGATGTATTTTTAAGATTTTTGCACCCCCTAAGGCAGAGGATTGCTCCTCAAAAGTGCAAAACATATTTTTGTTCTGATAAAGTTTATTGTGTCCGAGTATGATTCGTTCCGTTTCTCGCTTAGTTTCTCAGCTCGTTTCTGGATGGTTTTTGTAGAGCCTGGAGCTGCTCCTCCGGTACACGCAAAAATTAGTGGAACAAAGCTGCTGTGTTCCTCATCCAGAATTCTTTGTTGGTATTTTAATGTTTTGACACTCTCATGATATTTGTAGGCGTCAGATATAGTTTTGGGGCAGGATTTAGCATGGGGGTTGAAAATTTTTATATCGAAAAAGGTTCGGCTGAATCGGCCTCCCCAGAGTCAGTTTGCCTTGATCTCAAGTCGAGCGTCATCTTCAGTAGTGGATGTTTTGTTGTGAAAGCTTTCACCTTCCAACGACTGAAGTTTCGGCTCTATTTCAATATCATGGCATACTTCGTTCAGGAGTGTCGCAAAGGTATCTCGATTTTCATTGTCTTGAGTGAGTGTATCCAACTTTGGAACAGTGTAGAGAGTGGGTCAGTGTGAACGGTTGTCCACATGGGCATGTATGTGGGGTCTTTGGTGGATGCCATCCATATCTCAGATTTTATCGAGCTTTCAACTCTGATTTGTTGAGGGAAAAATTGTTTCTTCTTAAAGGTAGCACGCTGAGCCAATTCGATGATCCTTTCTGTTACAATGGATTTAATATCGAAGAAATTTTTGCTAAAAAGTAAATTTCAAACGTTTTCGCAACTATGTGCATCGTCAGGATTTTTACAATAAACTACTCTAAATGACGATAAAACATCAATTTACAAATGTTATTTACAATAAATCACATACAATTTGGTTCTAAACCATCATGATAAAAAATTAGCCAATCACAGTTGACCTCTAAATTACTATTAAGATTAAAATACTTTTAACCTCTAAAATTAATTAAATATTTTAAAATTAATTTGTCTGGAAGTTTCTGAGTCATAATTTCGATTTAGACATGTACGTTTTGAATAAAAAACCAAAAATATTTTGGGACTAAATTTTCAGTGTTAACTCCCTGCTCCTAAACTCATCGCGCGTGTTCAAGCCCGGTTTCTCTTTCCTGATATGTATTGCCTCTAGTGTTAGCAATTTTGTTTGGTTGTTTGACCTATCTATAATTTCCCAACTAAGATCTGCGCTATTTCCCTCAAGTTGGCATTGCTGAAGGTGGAGGCCTACCGGTGAGTCTGCTTTCCTATAATCCTCAATTCTAGTGGTCAAATGTCGAACAGTTTGTCCGACATAGGTGGAAGTGCATCCACTACATGACAGTTTATAAACCACTCTTGACTTGAGGTCATTAGAAAATGCTGACTTCAGTGATGGTAAACATGATTGTAGTTTTCTTGTGGTGAAAACCACTTGAACGTTCGTTAATTTTCGTAACCTGTTAGCAAAATATTGGCTCTGGTTACCTCTATATTGCACCATCAGCATTGGGGGCTTTTCATCCTTTGGTGATTGAACTGACAAACCCCTGTCACTATCCAGGGGCTTGCCTTTACCCTCGATGATCTTGCACAAGGCGTCTGAAGCCACCTTTGCGGACCAATTTTCAGGGTACTGATTTGTCAGCCATTGCGCCCTATTAGTTTCCATAGCCTTATCAAATTGCTCCCAGCTAGATGTACTCCTAAAAACCCTGTGTACAGTGCCTTGGATAACACTACGCTTATACTGAGTTGGGGCGCAGCTTCTATAGTTCAGTATAGTCCCTGTATCTGTTGGTTTTTGATACCAACTGCAAGTTACACGCCTATCCTGCGATATATTTATGTTCAAATCCAGGAACGGCAAATTCCCCTCCGAATTAGTTTTCTCTAGAGTGAACTGCAAATTTGGATGAAGAGAATTGGCGGCATCGAGAAGACAACTCGGCTCCCCTCTGACTGTTCTAACAATGTCATCCACATACCTGAGGAGAAATTTCACCTGGGGAGTATCCTTCTCCTTGTTCTTAGCTCGGCAGCAGCTTTCACAGTACCAGACTATCTCGGTTATTGATGCGTATACGTCATCGGATATTTTTCCGCATTTTAGATGATACCAGTTTCGGCAACTCTCGCATTCAACCCCCTTTGATCTATATGTGACTTTCCTGCTGCAACATGGGCACAAGCCGTTTTTGTCATTAATTTGCTGTACCCCCGTTCCCACCGGTATTTGTTGTCGTAGAGCAAATTCGTATTCTTTCAGCCATAAGTTTGCCAGAATTACAGCGAGGGACGCTCCCATTGCTAAACCATCAACTTGTACATACCATGAATCATTACACTTGAAATATACTTTGCTGACCGCCATATTCAAAAGCCTTTTCATGGTTGCTCTTTGAATTTCAGGAGGAGACTCCTGGCTGTACAGCTTCTGTAAAGCAATTTCAATTGCCTCCTTCAGGGGAACGTTGGTGTACAAACTTTTCACATCAAGAGATATTATGGTTTCATCCGGATCTAGAGCAATGTTTTCTATTTTTTCTCTAGCCTCTTTAGTATTGGTTTCTATATTTGCTCCATCGATGTTGTCAAAAAACTTCGCAAGCATTTTGTTAAGATTCTCATACGAGCTGCCGGGAAGTGATAGTACAGGTCGTAGGGGTGTCTCATCCTTGTGTACCTTAGCTAAACCGTACAAACGGGCGGGTTGCCCCCCTGTTGATCGTATCTTAGAATATAACTGATCACTTATCTCGTCTCTTTTGTTCATGGCTAGTAACTCTTTGTTAAGTTCTTTCTCAATTTTCAGTATCACCTCATCAGTGGTTGCATCTTTTTTCACAAACTGAGCAGATTGCAACAAGGATTCCAGCTTTGATTCATATGTTTGTTTCCTCATTATGCAAAAACCAACCCCCTTATCAAAAGGCACAGCCAGCAACCCATTATCTTTGAGATATTTCCTCGTTTTTTCAACGGCTTTGTCTCTTGGGGTTTGCCGTACGTTTTTTGCATATGCCTTTGCCGCGGCTTCTATTTCACATAACGTTTCACCAGATGTTTTTTGATTTTTCAATTGTGAGAGGAAAATGTCGATATCCGCCAAAAAATGTGTTTCGTTAAATTTGTCTCTACTTGGATGCTTGGGGCCCATTGATAGCACTTCATATACCCAATCAGGCAGTTCAATATTATCAAGTACCCTAACTGATCGCTCATTTCTCCCCCCAAGAGGTTTATCTTGTCTCTCGGACAGTTTTTCTAACTTTTTTCTATGGTTTTCTGATGTTGTCTTTAAGCTTGCCTCAACTTGCCGCCTCACGAATCGGAAAAATATCGGAAACGGATTTAATATCAGTTTTTTTTCTGATGAGCAATTTTCCATAATTTTTGGCCCTTTTTTGAGAGTGTGATGTAATGTCTCTCAGTTTTGATATTTCTATTTATCAGAATTTGTTCCGTTTCAGCTATTTCTGGATCACTGGTTTCTAACGGATTACAAATGGCTTGTGACCACTCATAAGTTCTGGAAAATTCCGTGTTACTGAGGAGGTCTAATCCTCCCATTCTTCGTGGAAGTGCAAAAAGGTTGCGGTCTTCATCGGTTATATGGTTTTTACCAGTAATACTAGGAAGTAGCTGATGTCTTTTATTTTTCTCAATTTCATCCATTTTCCTAAATCCTTCCGGAGTTGTTCTGAATAAAAAGCTTAATTTAATTTGAACTCCCTTTGTGTAGCAGTAATACGCATTCTGTTGTAACATTCGCCCAAATACTACACAGCGACGGAGCGTAGAAAAAGTACTCTTACCGACTGGCAGGCGTCAGTTACCTTAATCCTACTCGTTTTTCACCGTCTCGACCTTGCCAGTTGATTTTCTGGTCTGTTTCGGGCTAAGTAAAAAGTTACTATTTTTAGGCCATCAGTCAAACTACTTTTGATCAGCTTTCGTTTACATGCCAACAAAACCACATAGCTGAGTCTCGGATCCTCAGACTACGTGATTGCTATTAAAAACACGGCTCGAATACCTTGTTTTAATATGTTTTTGTGTGACAGTTCTATATTAAATCCATTGGAGATCGATTGACCCTTTCCTCTTTCTAGCTACTCATTTTCTAAAATATCAGATAATACCGGTGTTAATTCAAGATCCAAGTAGCTACAAAGTCAGTTTTATATAGTCCCTTCACATACAACAGTCTCTGGGGGACCAAGCCTCTGCTCCCGTGTTCTTCCCGAGATAACGCTG